CGGCCCCCCAGGTGATGACACTTCAACCACTCCGCACTTGCGAAAGGAGGAAGTATAAAGTAACTTAAAATTATGGAAGTAGGTAGCGGACGAAGCCAGAGCAGGGAACGAGGACCAGCGATGTGATAGGACGTTAGCCTGGGGTTGACAGCGCCGTCACGTGTCGAAGGATATGGAAACTGTTCAGTACGCCGACCATATTACACCCGGGTCATCGTCCCTTCGAGCCCGTCCTTTTTATCTAGACCTCTCCCTCGAAGAGAAACGTTTTCTAGTGTTACAAAAAGAAAAAGTTCTGCCCAAACGCGATAGAGGGAAACGGAGGAAGAATCCGGAATTTCCGAAACGTCCTCCAGTGGATGACAGAAAAGGCTCATCGGGTGACTTGAGCACCCGTATACGATGTTGGTTGGCTGGTGGACCCTTAATAAATTGGCGCACCCCACCATGGGGAGTCGGCCATGAAACGGGTAGTCTCTAAGCTTGCTCGACTCTTTACATGTGGCTCATACCCACTACGGATGATTGGTCATTAAACCGGCGGTTAACATAAGGAAAAAATTTTAAAATTCAGATGAAGGAAAATGAACTAATCTGTCATCTAAGGAATATGCGTGCGCAGAACCATGCTATGTGCAATGCAATCGGATTAGTGAAAAGAAGTCCGTAAAAATGAATTTCGACTGGGAATAACCTAACAATTAATTCTTCTTGTGTCACTAAAAAAAATGCGGACGTTCCTGTTGCTGTGGCCCAGAGAAGCTCCATGGTATATAATAATTTTTGAATTAAGAATCATTCCTAGCTTTCGGAATATAATGTCGAAATGTTTTCTTTTGTTACGGCTAGTAGAATGACGGCAAGTAAATAAAAGGTGATCGATGTGTTGAGGCATTTGACAGGAAAAGCATAAAGGAGTCGGCACCGGACCAGACCCGTGTAAGTGAAAATTAGGAGGAGGAGCCCGGCATCGAAATCTTGTGAGGAACCTTTTCAATTTGCGAGTGGGGCGTCATTTATCACCCCATGATAAAAAAAAAAAAAGACGAACATGTTCTTCAACTGGTAACCTCGTTTTCATAAAATCTTAAATTGGGTTGAGGACAGAAACCATTGTCTTCTTCTCAGTCGATGAATTTATCTGCTCCTTCATCCATCAGAAAGTTATCGGCACCCAACGTGAGTTAATTCACCCGGCCCCCAGGAACGGGGGCTTTGCGGGCTTCCTGCATCTCACCGGGTTTTAACGGCGGCCTCTGTAATCGACCCACCGTTCACCAAGCAACGACGTCATGTGATGGCCTCATCGAGTTATGTACAGTGATTTCATGCCGGAGTCATGCCATGACGGCTTTTCAAATGTGGCGTGTCATGACGTAGCGGTGACGTATATGGTCATGCCATAGCGTGACGATTTTTTTATCAGTCGTGTTGATAACGACGCACATCCAATGTGGGTATGAGCCGCATGTTTTCATTTCATTTAATCATTACGGCAGACCTGTTACGCTCCAGCTTTACCGCGTGTAGTGGTTAGAATATCATCGTGATCGTCAACCGGCACTTGCTCTCTTTGCCCCCTTCTTGATCGCCTTTCCCTTCTTCCTCGTCTGCTTTGCTCACAAAACACGTGCGCCGATTTGTGCGACAGGGTATCCGATAACTTCGATGGGGAGAGAGTGAGCACAGAGAGAGAGAAAGAGAGGGGAGAAAATTAGACACTGACAAATAAGAATTCTCGGGGGAAAAGATTTCAGCGAGGTGAGATTAAAGCCAGCAATACCAGTGATCAGAAGGTGAGCATCGCAACCACTCGTCTCTCTGGGCACGCTACAGTTCGTAACATAGACTTGTATATGAAGAGGCAAGCAAGAAAAGTGAGTGTTAGGGGGGACAGATGGGAGAATAAGGAGAGAGAGAGATAAAAAACGGAAGAACGGGTACACTGAGAAAGAGAGAGAGAGCGACAGAGAGAGAGAAAGAAGTACGATATATAAACATAGAAAGACATAAACACAAAAAAATAAAGCAACGCATACCTAAGTATAGTAAAGTGCGGCAAGTAGCCGGAAAGAAAGAGGTGAGAGAGTGGAATTCTCGTGGACTCGGCACCAGCTAGTATACTCACCAAATCTGCTGTGTGCCAGCCTTGCGCAACTTAGGTTCTTGTCTTTTGTGTACGCTGTCAAAAATTTTTGAGCAGAGCAGCTCAACAATGGAATACCCATTTGCCCAATCCCACACTTTAGCACAAGTGATGGTAATTCTTTTTTTTTCTTTTTTTACGCGTCACTCATATCCGCATACTCTGAGTGGGTATGAGCTACAACGCGGGTATGTAGGTTTGAGTGTCCTTTATAGGGACGTGGCGTACGAGCATGCCATGTTATTAATGTCACGGCTTCTCAGTCATGTTAGTGAAACATTCGCATAAAACCTTCCAAGCCATTTTTTTCTTGTCCTTTCTGTTCTTTTTTGCGGGTTTGTTTCTAATTTTAGCGACAACTATTCGGTCAGGGGGGGGGGGGGGGGCGCAAGGAACGTATTGTCACAAGGTGATAGTGCGAAAAAAAATAAAGGCAACAAAAAAAAAGACATCCGGTACTTCGGGAGTTCACTGAAGCGTCTGACTGGGTGAGAAAGCGAACGATTGATAGACGAAAAATATCGCAGGGTATCCACGGAGCGGATGATAATGGGGCGAAGCGTCCATCTTTCCGTGTGTCCGTCTGTCCCTGCGTGCACCCATGCATCCGAGCGCGTTCAAGAATTATACTGTTCGGGAGATACTGCCTTCTTTTCTTTCTCGTGTCTTCTTCTCTCGGTTACGCGTGACGCATGACAAGGTTAGACTAAGAGGAGCTTCGCCCCTTAATAAAAGGTGGGGGGGGGGGGGGGGGGTTGCAGGTGGATAAACCGACTTTGTCCATTTGAGTGGAGAGAATACAGGCGTGGCTGCAGATGACATTGTAAAGGGTGGCGGTGGGAGAGCATAAAGGGAAAGTGATTGACGAAATGAAAGGGCCCAGGACGCTGCAAATGAACCCATTTCGTGACTGCCCATTGTTAGCCATTCTTCCCCAGACCCGTTGGCGCCGCCGTTCGCTCGATCGTGCAAGCTGGTCGAACCACGGAGTGCGATCGAAATGTTGTCGCTCGAAGTTACGTTGTTATAAGTGATGTGCAAAGAAAAAAAAAAGAAAACACGCGCAGGCTTGCGGGAACGCTGTCTCTTTTGTGGTGATGCTGCTTGCTGTGGATTTTACGCCGTTGTTCATCATCTGCGCATCTCGACGCCGAAATGACCTTTTGCCCGGAACTTCCCGTGGTTATTGCACTGACTGTGTCGCTCTTTATTCCCTCGGGCATGCATGTTTGCAATGAGGTGAATACGGAATGACGTCTACACAATATGGCAAGGCTTCCGAAAAAAAAAAAGAATGGGGAACTCGTGTGCAGGCCATAATCGAATTTGAATGCGTCAGTGAGGAAGAAGTTTCATTTGTTACTCGACTCTCCCGGCCTCGGGCACAACAACATAAACCCTTTTGGGTGACCATCATAATGTGCGGGCATTCGGCCGGATAGCAATGTTTCGAGCTAGCGTTGAGCATGTGGGAAGCTAAGTTACAAAAAGCGACCACATTCCCAGTTTTATATTTGTGAAAGCGCAGACCTTTTCAAGGCTTGTGCAGTGCTAGGCTTTTATAGGAAATGCCTAGTCTGTTGCGAAATAAAAAAAAATCACAGCATATCCACGGAGTGAATGATGATGAGTGAGGCGAAGCGTTCGTCCACCCGTCTATCTGTTCATGCGTGCGTCCGTCCGTGCGTGCGTCCGTCAGTCCATCCGCCCATTCGTCCGTCTGTCCATCTATTTATCCATCCATCTGTCCATCCGTCTGTCCGTTCGTCCGTCCATGCTACCATTCATCCGTCTCTCTGCTTGTTTGTCTATCTGTTTGTCTGTCTATCTGTTTGTCTGATACTGTAGGTTAAGCCTGATGCAGGAGAAGGCTAGTCTAAGAGAACATTCACCCCTAAAACGCTGTCATCCGTCATGTAGCGCAGTTGTCGGAGTGTACAGGCCTTATTGTAAGCGTAAGCGGCCATCCTTGCACCCTTTCCTGCATATGCACGAAGAATTCACTAAAGGTCTCTTTCTAACCTCTTTTCCCCCATTATACGGTAGCAACCACACGCCAGTAACGAATTTTTAGCGTTTTCGCAGGAAATGTGACTCTTTCGTTGAGAATAATACGGATGGTTTGCTAACGCAGATATCACCAAGATCATCAACGCGCTCAGCTTCTACGACGGTGCGGCTTAACTCGTCTTTTCCGAAATAATATTCTAACTATTGTTTGGCTGACGATTCCATGACGCAGTGTGGTCAGCGAAGAAAGCGCCCGGGGCCAGCTTCATAGTTGTAGTGCGCTCTTATCGTCACCCATTCACAGACCTGCAAGCCTGTCCAGCGTAGTATATTCCACAGGAGACTAGGGATGGGACGCAGGCATTGCTAATGTTTTTTCCCAAAATGTAACAGGCTTAGTGATCGATCTCTGGAAGGTAATGGGCAGTAAGACGTGTTCCATAGCGCTTTTTTTCCATCTCGCATTGTTTTATTCACCAAAATACGGTATCAAACCACAGGCGCATCTCGCTGTATTCCCTGCATTTCCTCTCTTCACTCCTGCTCTTCCTTGACTCACGGACTACTAAAACGCCAGCACTGCAACACTACATACGGCGTACGCACAAAGCTTGCTGCATGACCAGTTGTGACATGCCTCTGTCCGCCGTTTGCGCCAGGCGGAGTCACCGAGTTGACCAAACGTAGTTCAGCTGTGATTGCAGATAAGAAACGGCGATTCGCCTACGAAGCAAAGGCATGGCAACGGCGACAACAACCTGGCGTTTGCGATAGCGGCGCGGATTAACCACCTGTCGGAGCTCTTTTTCCACATGATCTACTTCTTTTCTAGGCTGTGCGCGACTCAGGAAACCGTCGTCAGAAACATTTGTCGCTGTCGCACTTTTGTTCATTCTGTGCACGATGCTGCGCGAAACGGTGCTTCTGAACTGCAAATAACAAAAACATGACATCGATTCGTGCGCGCCACTGTGGATCGACGAGCGGCTTTCGTCCAGTGCCTAGCCGAATCCAGCCGAGTGTTAAGTGATGCCCCCGCCTTCGTGCGAACTTGAGCGCGGCGTTGGTTGAGTGTGTCGTCTCCTGCCGGGATCCTATGGATGCGACCGAACGTCGCGACGCCGGCGAACCAGGCGACGTCGCTCGAGATGACTGGCCGCTCCTGCTTAATCCCGTAAGCGCTCGTTATCTACATCGTTCGATAAACTCGTACACGTATAGGCTCCTGCCGAGATCTTCACGAATTCCGTTGGACTGTGGCTGCGCTCTTATTCGCAGCTTTATTTTGGGTTTGTTTCGCCAGTACGCTCGTAAAAAAATCTATCCCTCTCTATGAGCTGTCGTGGGAACTACTGAGTGTGTGTGGTGGTTCCAGTGGTATACATTCCTTGACGGGACCCGCCATTGGTGAGGATTGATTGATTTGTGGGGTTTAACGTCCCAAAACCACCATATGATTATGAGAGACGCCATAGTGGAGGGCTCCAAAAATTTTGACCAGCCGGGGTTCTTTAACGTGCACCCAAATCTGAGTACACGGGCCTACAACATTTCCGCCGACCCGCCATTGGGGTCTAGTGATTTTGGGGCTCGACCGATGACGCGAAGATCGCAGGATCGGATCCAGGCCACGGCGGCTGCGTTTCGATCGAGGCAAAATGCTATAGAAGCCCTAAATTTACGTGAACCTCAAGAAAAAAGAAACCCTGGTTGTCAATGTTTTCGGATCCCCTCAATTATGGCGTTGCTCATATTCATATTGTATTTTTTGGGACGTGAAAGCCTCAATCCTAATAATATTAAAACTCCAGGCTTAAAACTAATACGTGTTACTGCGTTGAATACTTTATACTGCACAGAGCTTCCCTCGGTGTTATCACTTTTTGGAATAACGTACACCTATAGCTTTTTCTTGTTGACATTTTGCTAGCGTGGTGACGGGAAAGAGTATACAGTAAGCTCTCGGAACGATTACTTGAATTTTATGAGCACAGTGGTTCGATATTCCCTCGAGAATTTTCTTGCGCCTCACTTTCATAAACAAAACGGGATCAAAAAAAGTTCAGTATCGGCGCATCGATTTATAAGGTTCGTGATGCAGACTAGCACTCGCAGATAGCCTTTTCCGGTCTAGTAGAGGGTTTTCATGCATGGGAAAATTACTGATGCTTGTTTTCGCGTGAGTGCCACCTTCCCAGTTAGGAAGAACTTGAAACGAAAGAGCATATGCACATAAATGTGTGGTAAGGGGTTAAAAACAAAAGACGGGACTGTGCTTGTCGTATTATCATTTCTGAAATCTCAGTGAATCTAAGCAAGGAAGATGAATTAAATTTATTTCAGCGTAAAATTCCGTATGTGATACGTTATCCGATATTTTAAAGGCCCTTGAACTGTGAAAAAAAACAAGATGGCCAAAATTTCCGCGCCCTTGTGTACGGCGTCTCATAATCATATCGTATTTTCGGGAGATAAAACCCGGATGTTGTTATCTAATACTCTATCTACAAAAGGGTGTCGCTGGTAGGGATCCTGTCGTTATTAAGGACCTTAATGGTATTGCATCGCATGGCAGGTTAGGCAGAACAGATTAAAGATTCGTGATCGTATGAGTATGCTGAGCAGTCGAGATGCTTGACTTGCACGGTAGTATGGTTTTGGCGAGCAATTAAGGAAGGGGAGGACTGGTAACAAACGCTGTTTATAGCAAGTGTTTTTTTAGGTGCTTGATGGCGTTGGGCGTAAATTTGGTTTGTTCAAATTAGGTTTATCTATAAGCAATATTTTCCAGTATATCTCATTATGAAGATTGCTTTGGTTGAAGAAAGAAACATTGGTAGTTAACGGCAGCCTAATGGTCTTATAGATGATTGGGGAGGACATAGTTAAATTCATTAGATGCTGTAATCACTTTTACGGGTATCGAACACTCCTAGTCAGAACAATGATCAGTCTGAGAAGGCCTTTACCAAACAATTTCTTGCTGAACCTCTCTCCATCTTTTCTCCTCGCCATTGTACTCACCGACAAGTCCGCATTTTCTTGGGTGTGTATGCAAGACCGCGCAGAACTGAGGTCGGTAAACGTTTGAGGTGCAGGGCCAGGTTGCTTGGGCCACACGGCAAATTCGGGAGGGGCGCGAGGGAAGGGCTTTGCAGACGAGCGGAAAAAAATTGTCGAATGGAAAACAATGAAAAAAACCTGTGTTCTATTTTTTTGCTTGTTTTCAGCAGTACTGTCACCAAGTTGTAGTCAAACCTGGGTTACGAGAAACAATCCCATTTTAGAGGAAAACGTCGGCCTTCACATACGAAGTGATACGGGAAGAAGAGGGGTGTTTGACTTCATGCAGGGGGTCGCACGTTGCCGAATTCTCGCCCAAAATAAGAAGCAGTTCCTGCAACCTTTTCGAGGAGGTATTGGCGTAGGCGCGTTTCCATGCGTGCGAACAGAACTTGACGACGGCAGCTGTGTGGCATGAAAGGCTATAGCGTACAACAGACAAGGACGATAGAAGTAGATACAAGACAAGCGTCTATTACGTACGCTGTAGCCTCTCGTGATGCGTTGCCAGCTAACTAGCGCACAAAGCCATCCTCGTGAACATCTGCGCTGCTCACCTTTATCAAACGTCTGTGCCGTTTGCACGTTTATCTTAATCCAGCGAGTGTTTCTACGAGCATTTGTGCTGCTGATCCTTAGGCGTTCTGCACTTATACCTCTCCTGGACAGATGCGAGCGGCGGTTGTTGCTTCGCCTGCGTACTGGCAGCGTCTGGCCTGCGGCACGCATGTATTCCGCGGGTCGCTCTTCATCGCCAGCGTGCCGAAGGTGCGGTGATGACGAAACGCTGCAGCATATCGTTTGCTCCTGCCCTGACCTGGCCACTGAGCGTTGCGCACTGATAAGCCGCTATCGTCTGCTTGGACTACCTGCCGAAACAATGGAAGACATACTTTTTCCCGCGCGCTCGAAGACGAAAGCCCTTCGAGCCTTCCTCGAGTTCTGTGCTTGCGCGGACCTCGCCGCCTTATAGACGGACTCTTTTCACTCGCACTACTGACTGTACTGACAAGACGTTCTCTTGCCATGACATTCACTTTTTCTTTCCTTCCTCTCTTCTTCCTATCATCTTTACTTCCCCTTCCCCGATCCCTAAAGGCGCTGAGCCGTGCCCCCGCGACGGGAGGCAGAAAATAGCGTCCTTTTTGTCTCTTCCTCTTTCATTAATCTCTCTCTCTCTCTCTCTTATACCTCGCAGTTTTAAGTTGCGATGCATTACCAACTAGCACACCAAGCCGTCCTCGAGAACAGCTATGCGGGCTTCTTGCTTTGTCATACTTTCAGGGGCTGAGTGCGAAAGAATGCAGGGAGGAAAGAAGGAATGTACACATCCGCCGATACCAGTGCGTGTGTAAATTTCTTTATTCGTTTCCCTGTGCTTTTGCGCTCAGCTCCTGAAGGTATGACATAACTTACGTTTGCCATCACGTTCGGGAAGGTCACGTAGTCGAGCAGAAACGTGATCTATGAATGCATACCACTTCCAAAATTTGAATGAAAACAACAGGTTGCGTCTGTACCACGGTGAAATGACACTTCAGGTGAGTGGACGCCGCTTAGTGAGCGCTTGGTGAGTAGGGACCGATTATGTTCTCGTTTGCGACCGGCCGATAGATGTCTCGCCGGACTGAGGACCGTGGCGGGCTGCTGGCAAATTCCGCAACGCACACCCGGCACGTGAACGACGGTTTCCAAATCTGAGAAAACAGGGCTATCGCGCGGTAACAACCACGCGACCCACATAAAGTGAGGCCGCGAAAGATGGGGTGATAAGGAAGGAGGTTGACAGTGCGGCGAGGGTGTTGTGGCGACGATAAATGGTAGTAGTTAGAAGAGGAAGAAGGCACATAATTTCTGCAGCCCGGTGGGGAGGACGGCGCAGTGCCTGACGATTAATGAGCGCCGCTATTTTCCCACGTACGGGGCTTTGGTACATTAAAAAAAAGGGAGGGAGTCGGGGCAAAGTTTGTAGCGCCATCTCTCGGGCTTATTGCGAAGCAGAACATTATCGGGCACCGGATAGTCCCTGCTTTCGCTCACCTTAAGTATTCTTGCACCGTGGTCTGTACTCTGTGGCATAGAGTTTCCCAAAATTAACTAAAGGGCACTCTGGCGCTACGATCGTTCAGCGACCACGGGAATGATGGGTAGTACACACATTTGTCTAGTCTTCGTACTTGCGGGCGGCGAATCGTACTTGCGGCTTCGTTTATTACTGGTTACGGTTTTCTTTTGAAAGAAGGAACGGACCCTTTTAAACTCAGGGACTTGATTCAAAATAGTGAGCTTAAAAGAACAAGGTTGTGAAGCGCAAACGGTGAACATTTGCTAATTTATGTTTTCGTGAAGAAACAGCTCCAAGCCACACGAACACGCACGGAGCCAGAAGCAGGCCAGAAGTACGAAAATTAGACAAATGTGTGTACTACCCATCATTCCCATGCTCGTTGAAGCGCCGTGTGTTGCAACTCCCATAGACACTGGCGCCAGAGTTCCCTCTAGTAAGTATTGTGGGAAACTCAATGCTCTGTAGTTGCCTAAGTGTCACCATTTTGCCAGTGTCAGTCGTTTGCCTGTGTCAATGGGAGGCCAGTAACGCACGCCATTGGTTGCGGTGCTCGGCTTCTGATCCGAAGGTTGTGGGTTCGATCCTGGCCATGGAGGTCGCATTTCGGTGGAAGTGAAATGGTAGAGGCCCGTGTGTCACGTCCGTGCAAGTTAAAGAATAACAGAAGGTCCAAACCTGCGGAACCCTCCACTGTGGCGTCACTTGTGATCATGTAGTGGTATTGGGACGCTAAACCCTAGATATTATTTGCGCACGCCGTGTTTCTTCTAGGTTCTCAGTATTTTTCCAGCATGACTGCACTGCCAGAATCGACAGCGACGTGTGAATGACTGCACTCCTGCGACGTGACTCGCATGGGACGGTCACCGCTAGTTCCGTTGCCGCGCTCTTTATGATACGAAAACATGCTATCTGTCGTCATCGATGCTGCGTGCCATTTTGTTGTGAATCCGGCACACGAAAAAGCTGTTTTTCCCAGCGTTCTTCTTACTACGGGAATCACAGTGCAAGCCATGAATCGTACAAAGCGATGACATACGAAG